TTAGGGGTGTGAACCTTCCCTTTTCGTATCCTGGTGGGGGAAGATATGTTCTTCTCGGTGATGGTGGGTGACAGTTGATTGATATAGTGAGTGACTACGACCCAATTGTGGAATGATAGAGTTGTTCTTCTCGGTGGTGGAGGGAGAAGAAGAATGTCGACTGAGAGGGAACGTATGGAATTTTGGGGAATGATAAACCTAACCAGGGAAAAGATAACTTTTCATTGTGTAATTGGGGGGAATGAAAAGTGGAATCGGAGGGAATGAAAACCTAAGGAGGGAAACGAAAATCAGCGACCGATTGGGGGGTACTTCTGAAGAACTATCAACGAGGGACTAAGCCCATCGCAATTTCGTCGCAGATTCCTTGGTAATCTATCGTTACTACCTCGCTGAAGGCTACAATTAAATAAACATGTGTATTTTTTATTTCCATCGGTGAACCCTCGTAATTTCGTCCCTAATATAGCTACGGAAAATTTCCGTAGCGGATTCCGTCGTTGATACCTTTTATTCTAGTAGTGGTAGTAACCCGTAAGATAAGGAATTTGAAAGGAAAAATGTGAAAAACGTAATTCATATGAATGAGATACAATTTTTAGAAAAATATAAAATATGGGTTAAAAAAGACAATTACAATTTGGCAACGCGGCCTTAAGGAAATTTGTAGTACTAGTAGAGAGCTACACAAATATATAAAGAGGGTAAGAACAAAGATTCATATAAGGAAGATATGATTTTTTTATAAAATATTTAGGGATGCACGCCAAGTGCGCGTCATGCTCGTCGCGCACACCTTACACCAGATTCGTCGAAGATTAGGGAGATATGAACCATCAGAAGTGTAACATATGACATGCTCTGGATGGAGCCACGAAGCGAGTGCACTTCACTCATGAAGTGCGTTACACGTACAAACCTTATAAATATAGGTGTTCACTTTATTATTTTCGCATCCCAAACACTCTTCAATACACTCTCTCAAGCTGTTTTGGAGACCCTCTCGATGGCGCGAACCTTCGTATGCAATGGCTCGGATGCTTCAGAATATGCTACAAGAGTACGTACACGGGTCCTATTTCATTGTTTTAAATGTTTTACTGGGGGGATATATGTTGATCAAATGGTTTTATCAAAATATATTATAGTTATAAATATCAAATCATTTTATAAAGTTTAAACCCTTAGGATAATATAGCTATAGATACTATGCCTAGTTGTAAGCTATGATATTATGACTAAGAGATATGATGCCCAATAGTCTAGGAAGAGATAATGCCTACATGTTATAATGGCCAAATCCCTAGGATAAACTAGTACCTAGAAGTTATGTTGGTCAAATTTAGGGATATGCACCTTATTTAATTGTTACTCTGCCCAAATATCCTATTTTTAAATAACCATAATTAGGGTATATATATGAATACTTATATATACAAAATAATTATGAGATCAAATGTTATAATTATCAAATATAAGATAAAAGATTTATATTGTGATAGTTATAGGAAATCCCTAGGAAGGATTAAAATAAAAGATAAAAGATAAATACCTAAGGTCAATGCGTTAGTGAACTGTTAATTCATCCAAAGGCCTCGATTAAATTCAGCATTCCCCAGATACCTATAATCGTTAATCTTGCGAGAGCTAGAAAGATATGTATAGATCAATGCGGGCTCTGACAACCCTACCTACAATTGCTAGCTACAATCCGGGCAGGATGGCTCTCTTATTATTCACTATTCGATGTCCACTGAAGCATCTTGGCGGGGCAAAATTATTAGTCAAACAGCGTCGATTATGGGGGCTCATGGTAATACATTAGATCACCTTAGAGATTCGACTACCATTAGGGACGCCTTAGAATGGTAGATAAAATACATTAGGATTAGATAAATATCCTAAAAGATAGTAAGATAGGATCGTTAGATATCCTAAAAGATAGTAAGATAGGATCGTTAGATATCCTAGAAGTTGATAAGATAGGATCGTTAGATATCCTCGAAGTTGATAAGATAGGATTGTTAGATATCCTACAAAGATAGTAAATTATGATTAATAAATATATCCTAAAAAGATAATAAGGTAGAATTGTTAGATATCCTAAAAGATAGTAAGCTAGGGTTGATAAAATACATTAGGAAAGGTTTTTCTAAAAGAAAAATGATTCTTAAATTAATACAACCAAATAAATGTCGAAAACTATAAAAACCTGTGCACTCACCAACATTATGTTGACATTTTCAAAAATCACATGTGTTCTTAGGATGGAGTAGAGATCCAGTCAAGAAAGGATTATCGGCATGAAGACTTTTGGATTTTGTTAGATAGGTAGTTATGATTGGCGCTCTGTGATTTGCGAAATCTTTTTAACAACACCACTCGACATTTTCCGCCATCGGCCGGGGAGGGTGTGACATTTTCGGTGATGGCCAGTACGTCTAGGTGTCTGTATCGCATATCATCTCTCTAGTATGGTCTATATGGCCTATGGAAATGCCCGCGCTTGTTCCCCTGTTCGGTTTGGTTATGGTGGTGGTTATCCCTTGGCCTGCCCCGCTGGGAGGTTGCTGCCCTCAGGTATGCTTCTTTTGCTGTTGTGCTTCCTCCTACTGTAAATGTTTTTGGGCTCTTTCATTAATTTTTGGTTTGGTGGTTGGTATTTTGCCGAGAAATTTTTTCGACAATGGTCCAGGAAGGAGTTCTTGTGTAAAGGTTCTTATGACAAGATGGTCGCTCTGTACAAGGACATCTAATGTTGCCTCAGTGAAACGTTTGAAATAATCTTTGATCGATTCCTCCCTCATTTTGTTTACAACCGATTATCTCTCTAACATCACCTCTATATTTTCGTAATTGCATGAAATTGGTGAGGAATAATTATTTCAGTTCTGCAAAGCTGTGAATGTTGTTTAATGCGATACTTTTGAACCAGACCCCTGCATTTCTGTCTAAGATGGTGGGAAAATGGGTGCACCAGAAGCATTTATCTATTTTATACGATTTCATGTGCCATTCATATGAATCTATATGGTTGTTTGGGCAGGTTGATCCGTTGCATATCTTTAGGTGAGGTAATTTGGCTGTGGTGGGCATGTCATATTCGGGTAGTTCGGGTATAAATGGGGATGTATGTTGATCTAGGCGGCGCATGTGGTAATTTCCTTGCTGGTGGGGAAGAGATGAGTGCTGGAATGTGGAGAGATTTGGCTGGTTTGTATTGTGTGACATGCTTGTGAACGTTGGAAATGGTTGTGCGTATACATTGTAGAATCGTGTGTTAGAATATGAAGCGGCCATACTAGATTGGGGTGGTGTGACGAGCGTTGTTTGTGGAGCACTGGTTGATTTTGTAAAAGGCGATGCCAAGGATGGACATGTTACCGGTGCCGAGTATATTGGCTGGAAGTTTGACACCGGTTGCATTTGCATGTACGGATACAATCCTATCCGTGGCATCATTATAAACGGCATCGTGTTACTAGAGAGTAATGGGGTTGGTATTTGCATTGTGTTTGGGATGGTGTTGATTTGGGATAATTGTTTTGTAGTTGTCGGTGTGAGTGAGGGTACCCAGAATTGGTTTATCAGCATTCTCGATGTGGGACGATATGCGGTGGTGAAGGTATATGTCTGATTTATCTTAGTGATAACTGAGTCTAAAGATGGCATTGGTCGGACATGGCTTTACGTCGTGTTGCTGCTAACTCATTCACCATCGCTCTTAATGATAAGTGCTTAATGCTCGAAGCTTTTAGTATTATTGTCTCAAAAAGCACACGATGCCAAAGATGTGGGACCTCTGATGTGCTCCAATATATTGTGTATATGATCTCCGGTGAAAGTCTGCAATCACAACAATCAAACAAACCGTCAGCCGATCTCCAGGAGGAGATCCTGGGAGAACGATCTGACGGTCAAGTCAGTTTCTCGAGAGAGATTTAATGTAAAGCGTAAGGCTTAGTGAGTTTTAGGTTGAGAGAGAGAGAGATCCCTTTACCGTTGGAGTCGTGTGGCCTTTTATAGTGAGGGTATGTCACGGATCCTGCTCTTTAGGAAAGGGGTGTCAGACCCCGATAAGGACAGAGGCGCTGATTGGTTGATCGTACCTTTGTCCCTTGTCTAAGTCGTGATTGGCTTAGCTAGGGTAATGGTGCGTGCACCCGAAATGGCTCGATCCAGGATGGAATAAGCGCTAGCTTGGTGAAAAGAAGGTGACAGGCCTGATCGTGCTGCCTGCAACTTTAGTATTTATGGAGTGCCCAGGTGGCACGCTATCAATCACCCATCCCAAATCTGCATCGAAACCTCCGATCACAACAGTCTTTTCCTCCACAAGTCGATCCTTTTCCACTAAGTCTTTCTCAGCACTCTCCAGTTGGATACTTAGACCCTCATTCTCTTACTTCAACTGGCCAATAGTCTCACCAAGAGTAACCTTGTTGTGCTCAAGCCCCACAACCATCTTCCAGTGAGTTTCTTTTTCCTCCATAACCTTCCCTACACTCAAAACATCCTTCTCCAGCTAGGCAACTTTGGCTTGCAAATATGACCGAGCAGACAATAACATAGCCTGCTCCATCTGCAAGGAATGCATCTCTCTCTGCCGCCGACCCCTCTCCTCATCAATTTCTAGAAACTATTCCAAATGGTTAGAGCCTTCGGCAAAAAACATGCACTTTGGGTTGCGGCAAACCGAAGAGAGCCAACAAATATCCACCCATCTCAGAAACAGTCCCAGCAGAAGCACATTCTTGTTAAACTCAACGGTCGTCTCGGAAACAGAGTGTCGTGACTCATCTTTCAATGACCAACGAGGTCGGAAACCGACTGAGCTCGAACCTTGCTCTCCACACTCAGAAACCATCATAGAACCACCATGCCAAAACCCTATAAATTACGCACCCCTAACACCACCAACTCCAACCATTCCATCACCTTGAGACACTTCTCCAACAACAGTTTCATCAACACCCACATCATTCACTGACACATTCAAATCAAAGAACAACATTCTCCTCCACATTCCGGTTATCCACGATATCTATAACCTCATTTTGAACAGTTCCAATCTTGGAGCTACCACCATCCAAATGGCGCGGACGCAAGCGCCACACAAGAGCAAGATCCCTTGCATCTGCATCACTCACACTCTGCCAGACTGCTTTGTGTTTATTCACCATAGGAATAATCCCATCCTTGTTATCTTCCATAACTTCCTCCTCAACAATTTTCTTGTCGGAAGACTCCACAACTCCATCCAAAGTCCAAGGATCAATCAAGGCAGACCTGGAAGGCTGAACAACAGCCGGACGTCGTTCAATGTCTTAAACAACTATATAATGCACGATGAAGGCCTCATTAGGAAAAGCAGCATATGGAAGAACCTTGTCCACAAGATCCACCTCACGATACCGGAGACTCCCCACCCATTTCTTGGCCAACACATCAAGAAAGTCAACTCACTTCTCAACACCTGAAACAATAATGTAATTCCTTTTTTTTTAAAGGGGGGGGAAGCAGGGAAAAGGGAATAGATAAGGATTAAAGCGACAGTTAGATACCTTTCACCATAACGTAAAACTCCAGCATTTTACCACGAAGCTCCAAAACATACTCATCCCGCCACCATCAAGCACATACTATAAAAAAATCATCGGCCACCACCTAAGACGAGCGAAGAACCCTAGCCATCTGCTCCTTATTGGATTAAAGGGTATATAATTGATCAGAGATTGAAGTCTTCCGATGAATCATGAGTCCCACACGATCAATGTTAACCTAGTAGTAGCGGTTCGCCCAATTCTCCGGAGAGTTCTTCTACTCTGCCATAAGAACATAGCTATGGTTACCAACAATAAATGTGTAGCTTTCCGCAGAAGAAGTCAGTGAAAACGGAAGAAATGGCGAAATACCCACAAATCGGGAGCAATCCCATGGGCACGACACAACATCTCGACCGCAACTACCTTGTTCACTCTGTTTGGCACCAGTTGATTAATATGAACTTTATGATGATGAAGAACTTCTCGGAAAAAGTCACACTTTGGAATACGATATCCATCATCGAAATGCTTCACATAAATGCCAATCTTCCCTGCATGAGGATTGATGAAACTATCATTCTCACCACGGAATGTCATGCCGTCTTCTGGCAGAAACCCATACTTATGCTGAAGAACATCGAACTGATAGGGAGTCGGAACAACACTAATCGGAGAATCCATAGCAAAAAGAAATAAGAAAAAGAGAAGAATCGAGACAAAGAACAACCGAAATAGAAGGAAAAAAACTAAAGGGGCAGAAGTTATAAAGGATAACGCCCAACGGGAAAATTCGAAAACCCTCATGATGGAATCTGACGTCACAGCCGAAGAAACTGTTACGGCGTGTTACGGCGTGCATATAAAAAGACAGGAACCAAACAAAATAGGATTCTAGGCTAGTCCCATTTTTTGAGACTAAGCAAGCATGCACCCAAACAAATAAGACTAAGGAGACTTGATAACATGCCTTCTAGACACCAAACGCGCTAGGCGTACAACCAGTCAGTCGGCCGACCTGGCCGCCTCATTCCGTTTCCAGCCCGCATTGGACTACCCCCGGTGTCCAATGGCCAGCCTGGAACACGAGTGGGAAAGTAAGCAGAAGAAAAACCGACACCTGCTAACTCTAGTGAAGGTGCACGCACCACTACCATGGTTAAGCTAATCGTAGCTCAGACAAGGGACAAAAGTACAATCTACCAATCAGTGCCTCGGTCCCGATCGGGACTTGATGCTCTTGTCTCCACGAGTGGGATCCATGCCCAGGTCCTCACAATAGAAGGTCACATGCCTTCAATGGTCAAGGGATCAAATCCCATACTCTAATCCATACGCTACATCCATATACTCATCTCCCCCGGAGAATGACTTGTCCGTTGTAGCGTATTTCCGGGACCTCCTTCTATAGAACGCCTGGCAGCCTCCTTTTCTATAGTAGTGGTTACAGATCTCCATCGAATTCTATCCAACTGAGTCATTACTCGTCAACCGGAGGTCCAATATCACAAATATATACACACACATACACACACACACACACACACACACACATATATATATATATATATATATATATATATATATATATATATAATATATATAACACATGCACACTGCACACATTTCTTTTAGAAAAGCACACTACACAACAAGATGCTTTGTTTAATTTTCTACTTTTCGATCATCTATGTAAAAGTATGTGTGTGTGTGTGTGTGTATATATATATATACACACACAGACACATACATAAACCATGCTCTGACAGTTATCCAGCGGGTAGCGGTTATGAAAAAATGAGAACTGGAGCCGGAACCACTTAAGGCGGTTCCATTACTTTAGGAACCGGAACCATAACCACTTAAGGCGGTTCCGGTTCAAGAATTGGCAGTTACAAGGTGGTTTCGGTTCCTAAAGAAAGTAACCAGTTCTGATGCTCACGCCTAATTATACAAACTCATTTTCAGTGTCACAAAGGTGTGATTCCAACATTTACACATTCTTGGTAAGACTATATTTTCAATTAACCATACAGTTATAACATAATAAACGAATAGTTTGTTTATGACAAAACTATCAAATAAGAAAATTGAAAGCGTTTGAAAAATACTTGAATCTGATGCAATGTAATATTATGGACTTTATTAAAAAAATTGAAATTAATGGCAAATTTACAGGAGGATGTTATTCATCTTTCATTACCCTAGTACCGAAAATAAAAGACCATCTTACTTTAAATGACTATCGTCAAATTAGTCTTATCGGTTGCCTTTACTCGATCATTTCATAAGCCTTTTCCTCTAGACTTAAAAGAGTCAAAGTCTTGGTTATTAGCAGAGTTTAAACGGATTTCATTGAAGGTAGGAATATTTTTTATGGTCTGATTGTCATTAATGAATTATTAGGCCAAAAAAAGAAAAAAAAATAGTTTTTTTTTGTTTAAGGTTGACTTGAATAAAGCCTTTGATTCCATCAATTGGGGTTACCTTGACTCGAATATGACTCAAATGGGTTTCGAGGTTAAGTGGAGATCTTGGATTCCAGGTTGTCTCTCCTCGGCTCGGGCTTCGGTCGTAAATAATGTCTCCCCAACCAAAGAGTTTCCGATCACTAAAGGTGTTCGTAAAGGGGACTCATTATCTTTGCTTTTATTTATTATCACTATGGTGGGTCTAAACAATGCTATGAAAACCGCTTGTGAGAAATCTATATATCCTCCATGGAACTAATATTCCAAATAATGGTCCTTACATATCTCACTTGTTTTACGTTGACGATGTTATATTTAATTATTTATGGGTGAGTGGTTGGATTGAAATATTATGAATATGGTGTGCATCCTTAGATGTTTTCATATTTCTTCTGGACTTAAGGTGAATTTACATAAATATAAGGTTTATGGCATTGGTATCCTCAATATGGAGCATAGTTGTAAAACTAGAATTCTTGATTGGGACACAAGTTATTTCCCTTTCACTTTCTTAGGTGTGTCGGTGGCTGGTGGGCACCAACATGAACCTGAAAAGGATCCAGGAGTCTATCATTGAGTGTGTTAATGCTGAGCTCTCCTATTGGAAAGCTAAGACTCACTATTTTGGGGATAGGCCCACTATGGTGAAGTTGGTACTTGGTAGTCTCCTCCTCTACTATTTCTCGATCTTCAAATCTCCTAGTTCTATTATTGATGGCCTTGAAAAACCCCATACAATATTCTTATGTGGCGGTGGAAGATACGTTTAAAACTAATTAGGTTTCTTGGACTAAAATCTTAGATGCAAGGAAAATGGGTGTCTCGGGATTGGATCTCTAAGGGCTTTAAATGTGTCGCTTTTAATTAAATGGATATCGCGTCTAAAATTTGATAAAACTCCTTATGGGGCACTCTTACCTATGGAATTCACAATCTCTCCCGTAAACCTCTTTGTTATTTGGCTAAAAATCTCTTTCGGGTACTTGGTCCAACATTTTTAAGGTGAAAGATGATATGTAAAATCTTGGTGTAGATCCATATTGATGGAAAACGTAGGTTACAAAATTTCTATGCACTAAGTGGAAAACATTCAAACAATTCAAATGATTAGGGCACATGCAACCTTTTGAGGATATATGTCTCTCATGTATAGGCAACTTACAATGAACTATCATCCTATAAAAATTTTCTTATGAAAATTGAATTCAATAGAATAAGAAACATACCTTGAAGATTGTTATTGCAAACAACCTCGAATCCTTCTTCGAATCTTTTGGCAGCTAGCACCACAAACGTCGTGCATATGCTGGTTCACACCCAAGACTACCAGCTAAGGATTATAGAGAGGGAGGAGGAGAATTTAGGCTAGATTTTTTCTAGGTTTATGAGTGCCGAAATTCATAACCCTAGGGGCCTATTTATAGTGTAGTCAGGAAACCCTAGATAAGCCCAAACCTAATATAATAATATTATATTGAACCGCGTAATTATCCATCTTCCTAATTATCCACCAAGGATAATTCTAGAAACCCTAAGGCTACTTAAAATCGTCCATAACCTCATGGAGGGTTTTAGAATGCCTCTTGCTCAACTATTAAACAATTGCACTTCAGTCCATGCACTTTCAATTAATTCTTTTTATCACCAAATTAATTCTTATTGATTTCTGATTAAATATTACTATTTCTAATTAATATATTATTTCCATAATATATTAATAATTTATTTATTTCAATTTTAATCAAATAATAAATGATTCTCTTTCTCCAAAATAATCATGTCCAATTGCTAGGTTTGAGGGCAATCCAAAAGGATTGTGCTACCATCAATTCAAGTTCACACCAATTATAGTTATGGGCTTAGACACCTAATCCAACAGTCTCCCACTTAGATAAGTCTGCAACTATAACTGCTAGTATAACTTCTAGATTGATCAGCAAATTGTAGCTACCAAAAGCTGCTGTTGAACACTTACCCAGTCAGTTACGCGTCGTAAGATAAGTAATCATATAATCCTCCGTACTGCAAGATATCATTCGGACATTGAGACTTGGAATAGAATCAATCTCATTGTCCAATACTTTGTTTCCCGATTTCTGATTGTAATGACATATAACTTCTAATCGAACACATCAATTAAGTCCAGGTCGGGCCGACACTAAAAGACAACACCAAATCACCGAGTGGCCCAAAGATATCGCTTTTTCGATTAAGGCAAAAGGAAAAATATAAACTTTGACTTATATGCTTGCATCATTTACTTATCAAATCATGCACAACAATACGTTTTATAACATCAAGTTACTGGTGCGTTTACATATCATCAATGCACAATTGATTTGTAAACCACAACTAATATATCTCCGTTTAAAGATTATAAGATATTATCGTCTCAGAATTACTCATGATAAAATCCATGAAGTAATTCTCTGAGCATGGGTTAATCCAATACTTAAATCTCCATTTCTAAGTACTCATAAATATTGCAACAATTCCATTGCTATGTCTAATACTCTTTAGACAATCTACAATCTAATTCATGACAATCTTAATTCACTACTTACTTCCAAAAGTACGAATGACTGTGGAATTTGAATAATCGAATTATTCGGGAAGTAAAACATGCAAAATGAAACACAATAATAAACAATTGACAAAAGGTAGTAAACAAATTCATAAATAATTCTCTATTATTTAATCACCAAAAGTCAATTACATTTACTTTGTTACATGTTTCTAAAATAACTATCTAACTAGCATGTTGAACATGCTTGACCCTACTCAGACCCTATGTGAGGGGATCTGCAGGATTCTCTTTAGATGACACCCTCTTTACAACGAGGTGACCTTCTTCTACTTTATACCTGATGAAATGGTATTTTATGTTGATATGTCTTGATCTTCCATGATCTCTTGGTTCCTTTGTCAAGGTAACCACTCCTTCATTATCACATAAAATTTCCATTGGCTTCTTGATGGCTGGAACAACTCCAAGGTCTCCAATGAAGTTCTTCAACAAAATAGCCTCCTTCGATGCTTCACTCGCTACTATGTACTCTGATTCACAAGTAGAATCAACCACCGTCTCCTGTTTGGAAATTTTCCAGGTTACCGCTCATCCATTCAAGGTAAACACCCAACCATATTTGAGAATGGAAGTTGTCTCTATCTGTTTGAAAGTTGGCGTCACTATACCCATTTACTCTCAATGTA